CCAGTAATTCGTTAGACCGTGTACTTAACAAAGTCCATGCCAAACAGACTTTGGAAAAAATTGTAATGATGTTATTTCTCCTGGCTTCTTCAATGATAGCTGCAAACAGTCCAATTTGGAACTTAACCCGTTACAGCTACTAGTTCTCAATCCAAAATGGCATTTAGAAGCAATATAAGACGACTGGGACACGAAGCGCAAATACTTACGTGTCCCATGGTAATAAGATGACACTTACGCGAGCAGCAACGGACCAGACAGCATCAGAATGACCCTTCAATAAGGGTCCTCCAACACTAGGATCAAAGGCCTCATAGAGCATAAGCTGGAGACCACCCAAGCGCCAGGTGCGAATCTCACCATCCAGGGAGCCAGAAAAGGCAAAATTTATTTCCAGAGCAGTCTCCAAAGGGCTACTGCGGCCCGAAACGATGTTGTCCTTGCCTGTCGGTGAAATGCTAAGCAGTGTTACGCAGAGAACGGGAGCAGTATGACCACGGCAGGTATACATCTACATCAGAGAAGTCAAATCAAAGAATGAGTTAAATGTCAACAGTAACTTGAACATCGTAGACTAATCATATTCAATATACTAAAGTGAAATTCTCATATCAAACTCAAGAATAGTAATTACGCTTGAACTCAAACCTTAGTCGTATACTATTTGCACTTAATGCAAACCTATATAACTTATTTCTGCGCATTTTTGAACAAGCTCAAGGGGTCAGTAGAAATTTAGCATTTCCCTTCGAAGTCGTTTGGTATTACTGTATTTTATCACCCCTAATGAATATGTTGTATATTTGATAAGCAAGCAAACAAACGAAGAGCAGACAAATCGTACCGGTTCAACATCTAAACAAGAGGATTTCTTTGCCTGCACCCTTTTTGCAAGACTCCACACTCTCAGAGTGCAGTCCTCACTGCCTGTGAGAAGAATTTGATCTGCATGGTGGAAAGTCACCGATCTAATGGCGTCAAAGTGGCTTCTCAACGTGTACTTTGCTGTCCAAGCAGGCGACACTTTGGCGGTCGCTGCAGCGACAGCATCATCATCATAGTCACCTACTCCGGCCCCCTCCACGGCGTGAAGAAGAAGTAGTTGCTGTTGGTGGTGAAGGTGATGTGAGGCGGACTGAACAACTCCATCTAGATTGTCTAGTGCCGATGCAGAAGTTAGATTAGCTAGATCACCAAGACCACCACCGCCGCTACCGTTACCGTCATTGTCTTCGACAGCTCGGGCTGCTGCTAGAAGCACCTCTTCTGACAAGCCCTGCTGTGCACTGCCAAGGCTAGAGGTAGTGTGGGACTGGAATCGACGGCCCTGACTAGCAAAGAGCTCCATCTCATCATAGGCGTGTGGCGGAATGGGGATGTCCTCCGAGAATGAGGATTTGGATTGCTGCATTTGGGAGGCACGGTTGATCGGTAGGCCTTGAAAGAGAACAGTCATTAAGAGGCCGTAGGAT